TTTTTTTTCTGTTCATGTCTTTCTTCAGGTTACTGGGTACTTTTATTGATTTTTGACAGAGAAATTTTTTCTGTTCTCCTCTGTTATAGCTACGATTTCTTCTTCTTATATCTCTAGGCTTTTTTTCTAGTAGAATTTTCTGCCCCGAGCCTCTTTTCTGGCTAAGCATTCTAAGACAACATAATAAGGTGAATTTGGGAATAGAGTGAACTTTCATGTACTTAACTTTCTTCTTGATAGTTTTGAATTTTGCAGTTTTTTTTTCCTTGGAAACTGCATTCTGTGCTAAGTCCGCTGGTCAGTGTTTTTGCTAAACAATCAATTCCTACGTTGTTTTACAAGACATACCCGCGGTGTGCTATAAAGCAAATTGAATGAGTAGAAATAATGTCGCTGAATAGGAAAGAGAGCCTAAGGCGTAAACTTTTTTACTATTGTCAATTTCACTATTTTTTATGTATTCACCCTTATTCAGCTTTTTCTTCAATCACGATTTTGCATCCTGAATGATTCAATGCAAAGAAAAAAGGTTTTTGAGGTTGCTACATTTTCCTGCGAAAAGTGAGAAAAAAGCTAACTTTAAAACAAATTCTTACTTTTTCTCTTCCAAACCATTTGAGATCGCTTTCGTTCCTTTGGGATGAATGATTTTCACGTTCCATGTAGCTTTGAATTCAGGTTCATCAAAGCAAGGTACCATGCTGCGGGCATCTATTGGCTCCATTTGAGTAACAGCAGCCACCCTGGAGATGTTACAATGGTGAGCGCGCAGCGGAAGCTATTCAAATACCCATATCTTAAAACTCACTTTTTGGTGTCATCTCCCTCCTTATAGGTTGTCTGATAGAGGCCTCCAAGCTTATCGCTAATTAGTCCCGTGTACACCAACTAGAAAACTCTATCAAAGAAGAAAACTTGATATTTTAGGTGAATGAAAGGCTTGAGTGGAGTACCTTTAACTTTGTCTCCACTCCCTTTACAAGTCGCTTAGCAGGTACAATCTCAACCTTTTCCAGATTATCCTTCGGAACAACTTTTTCAATGTCAACTTTTTCGCCACCCTAAATATCATTATATTTCCACGTAGAAGATTGAACTCAATGTTCATTGTATTTTTGAAATTTAGATGTCAATTACGCAGGTTTTTTTTGAAAATAAGCTAAGTCACATTGTTTAGAAAAAATATTGGTACATTTGCTGACCATTTGCAATTTTCGATTTGGATTGCAATTTTCGAAATTATGATGAGTGAGTGCGTTGTCATGATGAGCACATGTGCTGACTTCTTTGAATTTATTACATTTTTTCTACTTTGCCCTAGACCTTTAAAATTAATGGATCACAAACACGACCGTCACTTATCACCACGCTGATTGCTGTGATTTTATTCTCTATTTTAACAAGAAGGCTTAAATATTCTGAGTATTCTGAATAAAAGTAATTGGTGATTGGAAAAGACCGTGAGGTTATTGGCTGAACACAAGGTTCCCTCCCTATATTCAGGGCATTTCAAAAGCTCAAAATTTTCTGTCGCAAGACTTTCGTGCTAACCATTACGCGCCCATACATCCAAAAACAGAATTTGTTGTTATTATCGGCTTGAGTCTAGATGTTAGTCATTACACACAAATTTAGGGTACATCTCAGCGGCCTTTGGAGCACCGTAACTGTAGCAAACTGTAGCCTTTCAGAAATAATGTTGTTTTAGAAAGTGACAAGCCCTTTACCGGAATTTTGCCAATCTATAGGTGCTGACGCATTGAGGATTACATCATTTTCTATAGTTTTAGCTTTTCATCTTAAAGTGAAATATCAAAAATTCCCATTTCTCTGACGATAAACTTTTACCATTTCAAACTATTAAATATTACTGTAAAGCGTAACTTCCTTCAAATGGAGGCGCGATGTTTTGAATCCGTTAAGATCAAGAAGTGCTATGGCATGCAGAAAAGAGACTTTGGACCAAATTTGAATCAGGCATAACTTCAAAATCTTGACCTATCTCAAAAACTTCCATCAAATAATCAATTTTTTGAAAATCTTGCTTTGAGGTGTTTGTGAAAAGATGTTCAAGGCACTTTTTAAGTTGGGTACCTAAACAAACTGAGCGCTTCACGTACAGGAAAAAAACCAAAAAAACCATTTGGTGCCAGCCGTCAGTCATAGTTTTAAACTAACAACCTGGCATTCAGCTATGACAAATTAGATAAACTATCCTTTACGTTTTTTTCAAATTTGACCCGAAGCTTGGCAGGACTAAGGTCTACTTATCCATTAAACAACGTGGTGATGTTCTCCAAGCATTTTCATTCTTTCAAGCAACGTTTTTTAAAAGCAACTTACCACCATGAGTTCACTCCTTCCTTTGTTAATAGTGATATTTCTCATGTTGAGTACGATTTTCTCGGATACTTCAATGACGTCAAGTACCATTTCGAGCTCAGCGTCAAATGTAAAATCTTTCTCGTGTGGGAAATCCACGTATGAAGGCAAATAAGCCTGTAGGCTTAAATCATAGCTCACTGTAAGAAAAGAAAAGACGTAAGTTTTATCGCTTAGCTTAATTTGATATGATCAAATCATTAGTTGTAACTCACATGGCCTAATGCTCTTTGGCAAACGTAGTTCTGCTGCAGAAGGTGAATTGTCCTCCTTCTTATCGTCTCCGCCATTTCTAAAACCAGCAGTCATTGAACGCTTCATGCCTCAGCTTTCATTTTGTACTAATATGAATTGAATGCTTTATTTAGTAACCCATCATGTAGTGATGAATGAAGGCTATTCAACAATGTTTCTCAAACTAGTAACGACAGCTCCCACTTAGAAATGCAGACGTCAATCATCGCTTCTATGTTTCTCGAAACTATTAAATGGCTTTCTAAATGGTCTTACAACTATCAAAATTCAAGCAAAGCCTTCTTGCAATGAACGAATCTTCCTGATCATCTTACCTTTTCAAATTTTCCTGCATAGCAACTACTTCAAGAATTTCGCACTCGTAACTTGCCCTATTTTTGACTTTTCGCTTATAAAGCGAATCTGCTCACTTCTGACAATTTTTGACCACGATTATTATTTCTTACTCCCTAAGTTAATATTGCAGGCGCAGAAGCTTCATTCCTCCTCATTTTCTACATTTTCAAACAAAGACAAAAGCATGCACTTCTTGTGTATTACTTCTCTGAGTTTGAAAAAATCGCACAAATAATAAATAATTTGTGGATCAAAGAAGGCGCCAAAGATTTTCTAAGACGTCGTTGCCTTATTTGTTTTGCTGTAGAAAATTTGACCTAGGTAATTCACGACTGTATATTTGCATTTGCCAGCGACATGATATATTCTGATTGTTAGGTAAGCAAGAATATTCCCGGACACTTGGAGATAACTCTCTTTGAATAATTTGGCTCGAATGAACTTTTTCGTGCAAACTAAAAACGTTGCACGTATGCGCACTGTCCTTGACATTATCATTATTAATCCTCCTTCTTATCGGCATTTTATCGGTCTCACCACGGTTTTAGACTTTCGCAAAAAAATTTTTGCGCACTTCCCCGCTTTACAACATCACGTGCATTATTACGATAAATTTGCTTTTCAGAATTATTCTACGAGAAACGAATTTACGAGCGTGCATGTACTTTCTCAAATGCGAATTTTATTGCAAAGAGATCCCTTACTTCTTGATTATTGCGTGCAATTAAGGCGCGATGACATCAATAAAAATGATGCCTTTTTTGATTTTCTCATTCCTTTATTCAATTTTTTTTTCGCTGCGCTATTTAGTAAAGAATTTAGATGATGCATTTTGCTTATGATAGTTTTTCCAGCATAGCTCAGCTCCTCCACGGAGCATATATGATGTGACTTGAATTCTTGCAATTTTTTAGAACAGTTATGTCAAAAAATGGAATGAAAAAATGATTTTTGTTTATTTTTTGATAATGGGGTTGTTTATTAAGAATTACTTGAAGCACAAACAAACCTTTTCAAGTTATAAAATTGGTTTGTCATTCATGGAAGAGCTAGTATATAATGAGTTTTGCAGAAACTATATCAAACTTACATGATATGGTCTCTTATAGATTTAGATAGAAAGATTGGCAAGATAGTGATAATATAGAAAGTTTTAAATATGCCATTCATTTCTGAGAGAAGCGTAGCACTATTGTTTTAGGGAAAAGATATCAGCGCACTAAATGAAGGCTAAGACGAGATGAACAAATTACATGCGTAGCAGAAGAAATGAGCAAATGCTAAACAGATCATTAACGTTAAGGCACGTCATTCTGGATTATGCTAAAAAAGTAGCGTGCTAAAACATTTGTGGAATTCTTGTTCATGGTTTCTTCCCAATTTTAGTCTGCAAAAAAACCTCAGGTAAAAGCGTGCTGTCAAATTGATCTCAACATCTATTGTTGCAATACGCGTAGATAGAGTTGCAAATAACTTAGAAATCTTTCTGATTTGTGCAATTGTTTTTTATTGATAACAAAAAACTGAAGCGTATCAAGTTGCCTAGGCCACTCAAATGGATGATTAGATAACCAGATCTAACATTCTTTAAGAACGCACCTAAATCGTAAAGTCTCCTCAACATGCCACCAGCATTGTGGAATTCTTATTCACGAGATAACTACTCCAACCACTACCACATTTTTTTTCGACGGTCAAATGTTTGAAAAAAGCCTAATTGAAGCTATAATCTTTTGATTGTGGAGTTAGTGGGTAGTACGCTGATAGGAGCTTCTAGTTTCAAGGAAGAAAAGACATGTGACATTTTAGAAGCACAAACTCAGAATATTACCCATTCGCATAGTCAATATATCTAAAACACCGGAAAATATTTGGGAAAAATAGCAAAATATAAATAAGGAAAAAGTGGAGGCTTGGCATAAAAACAAGAGAAGATTTTTCTGACAAATAACGATCACCCCTTAGATTAATAAAGTCGTTGATCCTCCTGTAGCTGGTGGATGGGTATCATCCTTCTTTGAAAGAATAAATCGCTGGCATGAACGTTGCCTGCTCACACAACTCATCCTAGAGACCCTTAACAAATAATAGCCTTTAAATGCCAAATAAGTCGAATGAGTTGCGCACTCAGAATTAGGATTAAGCAGCGCCGCCAAAAGTATTATGTTTT